TATTTAACAAAGCTAGCTTAGGATGGCCCACAGAGTGAGCCAGGAAATAAGCTAATAGGCAGTGTTACTTGTCCTGTGGCTTTTGCTTGAACTCTTGCCCTGATTTCCCTCAATCATGGAAGTATTTGACAAAAAGCCCTTTCCTCCACACGTTTCTTTTGCTCATTGTTTAATCACAGCAACAGAAGAGTAGGTAGGAGAGGTTCCATCCCTGGAGCCTCTTTCGGGGATTGTCTGTGAATTCCTGTTAATATCTCATCCCTTCAGGAAAGGCTGCCCACACAGTTAGCCAGCAGTCTTCTGTTTTCTGCACATCCTCATGGAATAGCTATACCAACTAAACTGTGGGCTCTTCATTTCTAGATGAATAGCTACCAACAAAAGATCAAAGATGTCACCCAGGAAATGATGGCTCTTGTTGCTGAGCTGTCCATGAAACAAGCCCTGACCATTGAACTCCAAAAGGAGGTGAGAGAGAAAGAAGATTTCATCTTCTCCTGCAGCTCCAGGATAGAAAGGGGCCTCCCGCTCAACAGAGAGATCGAGAAGGACTGGCTGAAGGTACTTCGAGATGAAGAAATGTATGCCTTTGCCACTGCTGAGAAGTCTCGGGTAAGCTTTGCCTCCCATGCTGCAAAGTGTGCCAGTGTCCTCTCATGATACAGTGGGTGGCCCCTTATCTGAAAGCCTGGGAAGAGAGATGGTTTGAACTTCCTATGATTTTCATGAGATATTTGGGGGATTGAGCCCAAGTCTCAACACCAGCCTCACTTGTTTCATATACACCTCATACGCATGGGCTGAAGTTGACTTCAACGCATAGTTATGTCTATTTAATTTTGACTGAAACCGTGATAGGGCATCAAGTATGGAATTATCTATTTGTGACATCATATTGATCCTCAAAACGTTTGGAGCATTTTGGATCTTAGGGGTTTGGATTAGGCTTTCTTCAACCTGTATGAGAAACTTTCCCACTTTAACAGGGATAGTCTGAATGGCTAGTAGAAAGGGTAAGTATGTAGAAAAGACTTGGAACTAGAAGTCCAAAGCACTGCCTTTCTCCCTGAAAAACAGTTGAGAGCCATCGGGTCTCACCCCAGTTATACCCTGGACTGTCATGGTTGAACACTGTAGCCTCCCCCAGCAGGTCTATGACAATTCTAACATTGGCATTTGCTCACACCACAGCTGACCCTTCTATGTCCTTTTGTCATGGTCTCCACAGCCATATTACAGCTACTACAGCCTTCTACAGAACCACCTGGCACATATCATAGAGTTCTATGCCACCCCTTTCTCCTCCCCAGTCACCAAGGTCTTGGTCAGCCACTGAAGCGACCAGCAAGTCTGGTTTCCTATTCATCCATCTAACCCCTCAACAGTTTAAGATTACAAGGCATCTCATTCCAAGAAGCCCACAGAGGTTGTGGGACAGGCAACAGAGGTGGGGGTGGACTTCACCCTCCTTTACTCATTCAGCAAAGCCTAAAGATGCTCTTTTAGGACCCAGGAAATCTTAAGTTCATGGCTTTCAGAGAACTGAAATGAGCACATCTTCCTTTGCAGGAGTACATGGAGACAGATTATCGGCTGTTGCCCAATGGTGTTTACACAACTGCAGAGCAGCGTCCAAACGCCTACATGCCTGAAACAGATACTGCGCTTCCTCTGCCCAAACCATATGGTGCAATGGCTCCATTTAAGCCCTCTGAACCTGGAGCCAACAGGAGGCACATTAGGAAACCTGTTGTGAAGCCCATTGAAATCTAAACATGGGAACCAATCCAGCCTTCTCACAGAGAGGACTTGAGCCAGGCTTCAGACCTTCTGTGGAGAGTGGGCATCACGGTTCTAGTGCTGCTCATCAGCTGGGTATAGTCAACAACAGTGGCTTGTTCTTTAAACAGTGGTTTCCTTTTACATTCACCAACTACTACCTGTGATGTGACACTGGATGGGACATAGACTACGGTTATGTCAAAGTGTATTTTAATGCTTGTGTGTTTCTCTTTCACTGTTTATAGTGAAATCAGGAATGTGCAGTAGACATGATGCTGTAAAAGTACAAAATAAATAACTTTTCGATGAAGTATAGACATTAGAGTGTTTTTTTTCTATTAGAGGGAAAACAGAACCCATTTACGTGTGTGCAGTTTGACTAGCCGATAGAAGAAACAGCCATGTGACACAGATGCAAGCCTCTTTGCTGCAGCAGAACTTGGGCTGTGTAAAGAGCAGCGGTGACACTTGTCACTCAAGCAATGTTACTTCTGTGAGAACAATTCTACTTATTTGCTCAAAGACTCACTTCACCCATATATTTTTCTGATCCCTGTGTCTTTATGGTTAGATGTGATGATTCACTAGTGTCTGTGGGGCCCGTCCTTTTACATTTACTAACATGCTTGAGCTGTCTTTCTTGTGTTGGTAGCAGTTATGAATCTCACATCTAGCTCTGGCAGACTGAGACATACCATACTTTCATTTTTCTAAATCCAACATGGTGTTTCAAGTACCTGTCCTGCCACATTGGGTGGGAATTTAAGTTCACTCTCATTTTGTGAGTCCTGAATTTGGCCTCTTTGCTTTGCAAGATCATTCCAAAGCAAAGGGCATGTGAGACCCTTCAGTAAGTACCAGCCATTTAACTAAGAAAGGAATCACTGCACACTGAAATAGTCCCTATGGCATAGAAAACACTGCACACTGGAATAGTCCCTATGTTATAGGAAACACTACACACTTAAACAGTCCCTATGGCACAGGAATTAGGAACCTCTTTGGAGATTAAAAAATATATAGAGAGAAACTTTAAACACCATAAGAATGGAAAGGTTTTTTTTTAAATCACAGAGAGATGGACTCTTAAATATTGCAATGTATGCTGCTAGTTGATAAAAGGCAGGTGCTGACATGGACTGAAGTGTCTTAGATTACAGTCCATCATATGTGTGTGTGTGTGTGTGTGTGTGTGTGTGTATTGGTCTGGCCCTAGAGTGTGAAGATTTTGGTGTTTGAGGGAGAAAGGGACTCCAAGTGGAAGAAACAACCTGGTCTAACCTTTGAAAGAAGAAGGTCAAACTCATGTTCCAAGGCCTAGCCAATTGGCTTGGCTACAAAAGAGTGTTCATATTGTACAGGGTCAGAATTTGAGAGTTAAGTTCCAAGGAGATTAGTGAAGAATTATGAGCTGAGTGTCAAAGCCACACTGAAGTTTTCTTCAAACATGTGTCAAATAAATTCAGCTTTAGGAAATCACAGGAACAAAGCAGGCGCGAAGTGGAAAGAAAGCAAAGAACGGAAGAAAAACTCCACTTATTCAAAAGATGTAGGTAAGTGTACTTAGAACAGCAGAATGTAGAAGAGCCATTTAAAATACAAATTAAGTGTTCTGTAAGAGTTTTGTTAGCAAAGAGGATTTTTAAAATTTAATTTGAACCTGCTGTCTCCAGTACAGAGTAATTTGTAACACAAGCAACGTGAACAGACAGAAATAACATGAACATACTGTATTGCCATAATGCTGACTTGGTGACAAGATTCCAAGCCTGGCTGACCACTTGGAGAAAAAGGAAAATTCTATAGGCTAGGACAGTTTCTAGAGCACAGCAAAGATTACAGACAATACAGTGAATTGCATATGAGTTAGTGACATTTAGCGTCATTGAAATCTCACTATGTGAACGGGAACCAGGGAGGACACAGAGAAGCAGACTCTGGAACGCTGAGCCTTACAGGTCAGTGGGACATCACTGCAGGAGACAGATGAGAAAGGACAGATGAGAGGGCCCTCAGGTGTCAGAGGCCTCTGCAGGGTCATACTGATGGGCTCAAAATGCCTTATGCAAATAAGGCTACACCCAAAACTTAGGGAGAGTCAGACCAGAGGTTTCAGCATTTGAGGTTGTATTTAATGACAAGATAGTATTAAATTATAAATCTTAAATTAAATAGGGCTCTATCTGAACCACCACAAAGGCAAAGCTGGTTTACGCCCCATATGTGCAAATGATGATTTGTTACAGTTACTCCATACTGGAAAGACAGGTCTTGTTTACTCCAGTTTCAGGTTTCTCTGAAATCCTCTACTGGAAAGACAGATCTTGTTTACTCCAGTTTCAGGTTTCTCTGAAATCCTCTTCACAGCATTTACTTTTTCTGCCTGTTTTTCGTTCTTTCCAGTGATCTGCCTGGCTCTTACTGTTCTGAGCACTGCCCCCTATATTTTTTATTAGATTCTGTAGAGCAACAGGACCAGCTCCTGGCCTACTGGGCCACCAAGAAGGGCACTGTTCCTGCCACAGTACACAGCCTTGAACTTGTTCTTTCCTCTAGGCTGTTTACTGGTTACTCGAACTGAGAGATGTAGCAGCTGCCTCTGAATAAGACCTGTATTGAAGCCAAACAGCTCTGCAGTATATTCTGACCTTCTCCCAATCTTAAAGATAGTAGAAGAATTCCCAGGAAAGGGAGGTGACAACGCTGAAATCGGTTGTTTGCACGTTCACTTTCATAAGCCCAAAAGCGTGGTGGTGTGCTTCAGAGCGGCTTCCTCTACAAATTCTGCATCCACATTGTCATGTCCTTCAAAGCCACACAGTGCTGGGAAGGGGGTGGGGGCGGGAGAGAGAGAGAGAGAGAGAGAGAGAGAGAGAGAGAGAGAGAGAGAGAGAGAGAAACTATGGAGCCATGGCTATTTATAATGTCCCTACAGCTTACTGGTAACATCATTTTATATTTTAGTGAAATGCATTATTCTGAGAATATGTTGGTAAATGCCATTAAGCTTTGGTTTAAATACCTCAAGCCCTTTTCAGTTTTCAAAGATATGTACTCCTTTGGTAATTAGGTAGTGCATGCAATACTCTATCTAATGAAAATCAACTTTAGTATGGATATACTTATAAGGGGTATTTAAGGAAGAAAACAATACAAAATGTGAATATGGAATGACTGGGGTATCAAGGTAAGCTGCTGGGCACAGGGGAATGAGTTACCTTGGTTGGAAGACTCCAGGCCCATGAGAATTTCAATGAAGTAGTTCAGAGGTAGAAATTCTACTGGAAACGATGACTTGTCAATCATGGAGTTCCGAGGCTAAAGGGGAAAACACTCCCTATATATGAATTGCTTCTCCAAGATATACCCAACTTTAAATAAAATGATAAAAAGCATAACTGTGTCTACCTGTGCATATTGAAATGGCAGGTGGTGTGTAAAGAATGCTTACTATCTGGGTTTGCATAGCCTCACCTCTTTCTTGTAGTTCTTCAGCAGCCGGGCCACATGGTTCCGTGAAATGATGTTGGAACTCATGGGATGGTCCCAAAGCCGGCAGACCTTCTGTCCAATATGCTAAGTGAGGTTGAAAGAGACACAGCGAAGAGTGCATGGTCACAGTGTAGGTCACAGTGCAGGGACAGACCACATACCTACTCTTAACTTCAAACTGTTATTCCCAAGTGGCTAGCTATTCTAAAATGCAGAATATTTGTGATTCCTGACTGTTGGAGAGAGGCCACACTCATGAAATATGCTTCTGAAGTTTTCATAAATACTCCCTCAACTGCTACCTTGAAAAAAACAACTTTTATATCAGTGCTGCCAAATTCCTTTCTTCCTGGAATGAGGTTAAACCTGAGATCCTTCAAAGCTGGAGATGAGCATACCAACCCAAAGTAACACTTTGACTGAAAACTAAAGGTGCTGTGTGTATTTATGTGATTTCTCTTCTGTCTGGCCTAGAAACTTTAAGTACCCTAACAATACAGGACCAAAGAAAAGTCAGATTTGGAGACCAAACTAAATGTCGACTCTGTTCCTCAGGAAGACAGAGTCTGGGAAAGGTGGGTGCTTTGTTCTCAGGAAGGCTATGAATGAACCACTGCAAGGCAAAACCATCAGGTCCAGAAAGGACATCCTTTTGGGGAGGCTGGGCAGGGCCAAAGATTCTGGTGCTCACAGTATGTAGATAGCACACAGGGCTGGCCAGGCTCTTGGGTCAGGAAGTTTGCAAAGTCAAAGGTTTGAAAGACCTTGCTGTGGAATTTCATGTTTTCATAATGTTTCTGATTCCAAGAGCTCATATCCCCACAAAAGAGCAAAGAGTAGCTTTGCACCTTTTTCTCTGATGGTTTTCATTCTTCATTTGACCTGGAAATGTTTTCCTATGCTCAGCTATACAATAGGAGGAGGAAATGCAGTTCTAGAACCTTCTGACCTCACCTGTATTTAAGTCCCTTATCAGTTTAAATGCCAGAGGTTTCCCTCCTCCCTCCTACTCAGACTCTGATATAAATAGGAGCGTGGGTTCCTAGCGGATGAAATGCATAAACTGTCTGCATGCACTGCACTACAGCACAATGCCAGAGAAGCACACTGGGTGGGCCTACAGATGACAAATAAAGGAGGGCAGAGCAGGGCTTAAGAGGAAATGGATTTCAGGATTACCGGAGGGAGCCGTACAATGATGCTGAATTTCAGTTTTTCATTTTTCTCTGAATTGTCCAGATCTACAAAAAAAAACAAAACAGTTGGAGATTAACAGATAAGTCAGACATATCCACTTAAATACTGCAGCAAGTTTTAAATCCTGAGTGCTTCCTTCTGAGATGTTCCAACCCTGCATCTGCAGGCTAGCGAGGCTTTAAAAGTTTTAGTTGGTGACTCGGAATCAAGGGGCCTTTTATTTTGTAACAGGCTGAGGTCATAAAGCAAATTTATCCACCGACTTAAAGCATAAAGTCCTCTGAAGAAGGACTGCTGCTGTGTTAAGTAACGTTAACAGGAGAAACGCATCAATGACTTACATGAGAAAGACTATGAAGCTGGCCTTAACGATCAGGCGCCCAGGCTCACAAGCACACTGGTAGCTGCCATTAGTTTTTCTTACATTTCTAGTTGACAAAATTAATTGGCTGAAAGTAAGCCATTTGTAATACTTGCTTGAAAAAAAACAAATTCATGGACACAGACTCCCAATCTCTTCTTACCCTCGAGTACAGAAAACAAATCTAACATTACTGCCTGGACTCTGAGGTTCTTTAGGGCCTCCGGAAGGGCTAAAGTACTTCCAACTGGCCTGAAGGGATGGTTCCAGGACATGGGGTGTGTTAAGAATTTGTAGGGCTCAGTGCAGGGTAAAATAAAGTGATATGTGTTCAAATGATAAGAGCTTCAATATATACTGCAGAGCATTCGGCTGAGCATTGGACCTTTCCGAAGGTAGCTGGGCCTGTGTGTCACATACCCAGAAGTCAGCCCTGAGGGTGGCCAGACCAAGACTCATTCTCTGCTTAATTCAGATTTGCTTACCTTTCATAAGCCTCATGACCGTGGTCTCAGTGAGCAGCAGCACACCGTTATCAATGTAGTGCAATAGGTTGTACAGAGGGAGACAGTGAACCCCGAGGATTGTGTGCAGAGAGTGGAAACCTAGGGTGAGTGGAGCAGAGGCAGACATGACTAGCCAGCATCTCCAGGTTCCATAGAGGGTGGATTGATCCTGTCAATAAAGCACCGAGCTTGCTTAGGGGCTGGGCCAGCTGATCCTTTTATGACAAGCAGTTCCTAGTCGGTATTATCTTGCTGTCCTTGATACCAGATCTTCAAATTCCACATGCCCAAGCTAAAAGGTTGTTGGGATGGGGACCATTTTGCTGAAAGGTAAAAGAAAGCTGGGCCAAAGGACAAGTTGTTATCCCCATCTCTGGTCCTCTCATAAAGACTTTTGGAGTCTACTTAGACTAAATTATAGAAAAGAAATGTAGATGACATGGCCCAATCAGAATCAGAGCTACAAATCCTCTATGCTACTATTGGTGACAAGGAAGGTTAGCAAGACACATAGAAAGAGATACCAGACCAGGTGAGATTAAGAAAACCCGATCCTTGGAGTGTCAGCCTCTTGAGCATCTTTGGAAAGATCTACACTTAGTGTGCTGGAATGCCAGAGGCAGAAGAGCAGACCCAGGCCAGGATGCTGCTGCTGTTTAACTAACCAGCTCTAAGTAACCGGTCTTTCTGAACTTCCTTCCTTACTGCCTAAAGTGGAATGCTGATATCTTTCCTTCTGGGCTATTATGAGGAATAGAGCAGTTATTTGGAACCCATTTGGTACAGTGTGATTAGCACTGTATAGTGTGGTAGCATCCACTAAGCACTGGCTCACCTGTTCCACACCCAACACTATCGGATGCAACTACTAGATTCCCATAGATTCAGATAGGAAAACCAAGGCTCATAGGAGCTGAGAAACTTCCCCGTATCCTATCAATAGTAAGCAAAAGGTTAAAGTAGCCTGAACATAGCCGGTGTGATTGTAGCCTTAGTTCTTAACCAGAGCATCATGTTACCTCAATACCTAATAGCTGGATTACTATAACAATATGAACAGAGACCTAATGTGAAAGAGCATGGTGTATTCAGAAACATGAAGTGATCATTTGAGTTGAAATCTGATGACTATCAGGTAAGTTTGGGCAACATTCACTTAACACATTCTCATATATGAGGCAGGGGTGGGTAGCAGGACAGTGGACAAAATACTGACCATTACCCCTGCTGTTTACCTGGCTATGTGGTAGAGGTAGCAATTGGTTCATCATAAAAATAAACACATATTTACATGTGACCAGTTCTGTGCTATGTGTACATATAACATGGACCTGATGCTGAGTACTACTAAGGAATTTATCCAGGAAACTTTGAGGAAGCCCTGAAAGTTTTTGAAGAAGAAAAAAATCTACTTTTGTAATATTACCATGCCATCAGACAAAGACCCATAGGAATACCATGGCCTGGACATGTGTGAGAGGGATTAGGGGTGCCAAGGGTGGAAGAAGAGATAAAGACATGTCCTAGTTAGGGTTTCTATTTCTCTGACAAAACACCACAGCCAAAGCAATGTTTATTCTCCTAACAGTTCCATGTCACTGCTTATCATCAAAGGCCGCAGGGACAGGAACCCAAGCAGGGCAGGAACCTAGAGTCAGGAGCTGATGCAGAGGCCTTAGAGGGGTGCTGCTTACTGGCTTGCTCCTCATTTTTTGTTCATCCTGTTTCTTATAGAACCAAGAACCAGAAGCCTGGGGATGGCACTGCCCATAATGGGCTGGACCCACACATACATTTATCACTAATTTAGAAAAATATGCCCTACAGGCTTACCCATGCCCCAATCAAAGGGAAACAATTTTTTAGTTGAGGTCCCCTCCTCTCAGATGACTCTAGGACAGGAAGAGTCTCAGGGTAATATGTACATACTTAACAACTGACTGGATGCAGGAATGACAGAGAACCACAGCCTGTTCTCAGGGATGTACTCGGCCAAACAAATTGTGCTCAGTGAACTGGAGAGTGAGTTCTGAGAAGTCATGGCATTTTCTCTCTGAACATATGAGTCATGGACAATGGGTCACTCATAATTCCTGGCAACATCAGGGATCACATGATGTGCAGATGTTGTCCTCAAGTTGATGGCTAAAAACAGACGGCGTTCACTGGGTTCCCCAATTCAAAACAAATTATATGATTGCTCTCTAATTAACACTAATGTTTCACATGGACTTGGAAATTCTTTCCTAGACTAATAAAGTCAAAACTTATTCCTGAAAAAGCATTTATACCAGATCATGAGTCCTATTCCTGGATTCAAAATTCTTTCTCCAATGCTGTGTACATGCTGAACATCCCAACAACCCTTCTTGTGCTTCACTAGCACAGCATCGAGGGCAGTGGCTTAGTCACAGCCTCATCTCTGGGTGTCAGCTCTGAGCAGAGCATGTGGCTATAACTAATCAATAAGTTTCATGACTAATCGTTGTCCTCTAGGGCTGCTGGCCTTGCTGCAGCCAGGGAGAGCGAGATAATGGAGCAAACAAACACACAAACAAAAAACCAAGGCTCTGCTTGTCATTTCCTCACTCCCTTCTTTTACTTAAATGTCTGACTCTTGAAACTCAATTTTCACTAGTCCCATAGACCTGAAAAGCAATCACCCTTATACATATGTATATATGAATTCCTTGTTCTCTCTCTCTCTCTCTCTCTCTCTCTCTCTCCCTCTCCCTCTCTCTCTCTCTCCCCCTCTCCAGTGCTGCTTTATTCTCTCTTTCCTTGTCACATGAAGATTATAAGCATTTAATAGAAAAGGAAAAGCCATGTATGGTATAGAAATACCCACCTGTAATCCCAGTACTTGGAGAATTGGGAGTTTAAAGCCAGTGTTGGCTACAAAAGTTTGAAGCCATCCTGAACTACCTGAGCTATCTGAGTTACCTGAGCCTACCTGGGTAAGGGGATGGGGCAGAGGGGATTTGGAGTGAAGGAAACCAAGAAAGGTAACAAAGTTTAAAAGTAGCTATAAAGTAAGGGAAACAAAATGGTATAAACCAGAAATTTGAGGAGAGGTTAAAATCCAGACCATAAAAATAATAAAAATAAGACAGCAAGACAACATCCAATCTTATTAAACATACCTGCACAGAGCTTTTTTCCCTGAAAAAGACACATGACTAGCCTAGAGTTACATGGAAAGACAGAGTCAACATCACTAATCAGCAACATACAAATCAATACTACAGTGAAATATTACCTTCCACCTCTTAGGGTGCAAAAACATTTGTAAGTGTTGGAGAGAATGTGGAGAAATGGAAGCCCTTGTGCACCATTGATGGGACAGTAAAACGGTACCACCACTGTGAAAGACAGCACGAGACACCTCATAGAAGCCAAAAATGGGATCAGCAAAATGATCTCATAATCTTTCTGAGCATCCAAAATAATTAAAGATACTTAAAGGAATTTGTACACTAATGTTCACTGTAATTCACATTAATTAAGATATATACATGCCCATTGATAAACAGGTAAATAAAATGTAAAATCCACGGTGTAACGTTACATAGCTTTAAAAAATATTTTGTCATCCAGGACAAATGAGTAGACCCAGAGGACACTATGGTGGTTAAAATAAGCCAGTCATGGAAGTGACAAATGCTCTAAAATGGTCAGACTCATAGAAACAATAGAAATGTGGTTGGCAAGGACCAAGAAGATGGAAAAGGGCAGCTGCTGTATGTGGACTATAAGAAGTCATTTGGAGGGTGAGGAATGCCTATACTTAATACTGTATTGACATTAAAGTGTTAAAAGGGTTGATTTCATGTTATATATTTTTCCTATAACAACAAAAACCATAGTACCAAGTCTTGCTTGGCCAGCGTGACATGGTTCCTACTCCTGGAACAGAGCCAGCAGGGTGTGGCCTTCAATGAGTATTGATGGCTGCTGTGAGCATAAGCCTTGTTTACATAATAATGTGCATGCTTTCATGTTCCTCCTTTGAGGAATGTTCACCCTGTTAAGATTAATGACTCCATGAGAATCAGAGTCCAGGAGGTGAGGGTGTGTCAAATGTCTTAGCAAAACTGGTAAACTCTGAGACCTCTAGGACAGCCCTTAAGGCTGTGGGAAAGAACTCTGAAAAATGAGTTCAAAAATATATAATTTATCAACTATGTAAAGTATGCAATATGAATTATATGAAGGGTTTCATAGATCTAAAAGAACAGAGGCAGCTGCACTATGGGCCAGCTTGTCAGGATGATACAAAGATTCCTGAGATCAAGGTCAGCCTGGGACAGAGCAACTCTAGGCCCAGATGTAGTAGGAATGGCAATCTCAGGATGGGATCCCAACCACCTAGCTTATTGTCTGTGCTAACAGAAGCAGGCAGATATCTAAATTCATTTGCAATGTTTGAAAAAAAGTGCTTGTTGTCTCTTTGTAAGAATTAAGGGGCTGGGGTCATAGGATGCTGATCATGGGACAATCAAAAGGAACCGGGGTAATGACTGAATTGATATGTAAATAAAAGACAGGTCTTTTGATCCTCAAAAGATGAGTTATCCAAGGAGTTTTTAGAATTGTAAGAGAAAGTTGGAGAGGGGAGGGGAGGAAATCTGGAAATCTGTCTCAAGCAGAATGTAGGCCAACAACTTGTAACCCACAATTTCACTTCAAGTAATTTTTTTTTCTGCTCTCAAACATCCCTTCACTCAGGAACCCCTCTCCAAGGCGAGGCTAGTCCTTGGCAACACAGTACACATAAGGCACATGTTTATGGCAAATAAGAGCTTGTGCATTTCTTACATCAAACACTGAAATACTGACTGACTTATGCAAACATCGTCCTGTGCCACTTCCACTGGTGACTGTAACTGCTTTCATTTCTCATACATTACCTGGTATGAACTAGCTACTCCACACACTCATGGACTAATCTAACAAGTGGTCACTTACATGAATAACTGTACACACATGGTAAGAGACCTCTGAAGCCCTATTAGGCCTTTTCTTAAAATCCTGAAGAAAACTTTCTGCTTCTAAGCACTTAAGGGCCAGCCTAAGACTTGACACCAGCCAGCTTCCCCCTTGGTGTTTGCCTTCAAGCCTCTCCAGACAATAAAGTACGAAACTACCAGAGAAGATTCCCAGGGGCAACACCATTGGTTCAAGTTCAGAGACACATATGAGAACTGGGTAGAACTGCTTCCTAGAGCTGGCAACAGCGGAGCTTAGTAGTCAGGGGAGGCGTGGCCAATAGAGACCCACTTCAAGACTTATCCTCCACCAGAACCAGCTGCTGACACACAGCTGCCATCTTGAAGTTCAGTGCTACTATCCAGAGACCATATGAAAAACAAATTTATTACAGCAAGTGACAAGAGGCCCTAGACTCACCAGGAGGCAGAGGGAAACACAAACTGCTAGCAGCATCCAAAATCCTGGTCATGAGATGAAATATTTCAAAATCTGCAGCACTGCCATGGTTTTTGCTGAGTTAAAAACAACAAAGTAGTATGTCAGCCAAGCACCCTGTTGGTCCTGAGTTCCACATACATAGGTATGCTCTATGTACCATATATAGAGATCCCTATGAAGTGCTATACCCTGGGGAAAGACACATAAATGACACACTGGTTAACAGCCTAAAGCATAGAATCTTACACCATACTCAGTAGGCTTCTAAGTTATAAAATATATTCATTGACATTTCTGTCCTTGGAAATAGCGGGCTCTCTCCTCCTCAACCACATGCCACAGAGGACAGGTGAAGTAACCTTTAATTCTAAGTATAAAAATAAGATAGATGGTTCTTGGGCTGGTGAGGGCTGCTGTGGACTAGTGTTTCAAAAGGGCTTTGGTAGAACAGGTGGTCGTCAGAGTTACTAGCTGTCTGCACACTGTGATAAAGGAGACTGAAAAATACTTGCGTACAGGTGGAGAATCCAAGGGTGCACACTGTGTTTCCTCCAACTGGTTTCCAGCAAGCACCAAATGAGATCCAGCTAGAGGGAAAGAGGATTGTGACCCACAGCTCCCTTGCTTCCCCGTAACGTCCTCCCAGCTGTCCCCTGTAACTCTGACTGTTGGCATGACAGTTGGCATTCAGGCTGTGGTCAGGCCCACTATACAGCTAGCCTTTCTGAGAGCAGTTCTGGGGCACTGAAAGCCAAAATGGAAAGACTGGAAAAGTGCCCACACTGTAACAGAATACCCTCTGTCTACATTGGCAAGGATCCACTGAGCGGCTAACTGGCTCCACCACTCACACTGGCAGACTCTCATCCATCAGTGAAGGTCAAATGCCAGGGCTTAGCTGCCAGCCTGCCACACTGAGACCTGCAAGGGTGAAGAAAGGTGGCAGGGCATCCTGGAGTCATGTACACGAGCTGTGAAGTTTCAGAATACTATCAAGCAGCCTTGTGTGTCTGCACCCATTCAGACCCACTTACTAGACTGCTTTAAAAAATGGCCTTGTTTAAAAAAATAAGGTTGACTAAAAGATTGAAGAAAGATGTATCTTTAAAGAAAGAGACAAATGACTAAGAACATTTCTTTCAGTATGGGCTGGTCAGTACCATGTTCTGAAACCACACCTCACTACAGCTCTGTCAAGAGGGAGATAGGGAACTCTGTGTCCCGATTATGAATATTATATGATGATGCCCAACCTTTCCTAGTATATTAAAATTATGAAATTGATTGGGGCCAGAGAGATGGCTCAGTAAGTAAGAGCACTGACTGCTCTTCCAGAGGACCCTGGTTCAATTCCCAGGACCCACATGGCAGCTCATAACCATCAGCATTTCCACTTTCAGGGGATCTAACACCCTCTTCTGGCCTCTGTGGGCACCAGGCATACATGCATACAAAATACTTGCATGCAAAATAAATAAATAAACAAATACATAAATTTTAAAATTTCAAAATTCAAGCCTTTCAGTAGATTTTCAACTATGAAGACAGTCACTAATGACTACAGTAAAAGTAGAAAACATTAACATGTTTTGTGAAAAAGCACAGAAGGCTGAAACCCAGTCTCGTCATTTTTATTTACATATGAACATGTGTCATTAATCTGTATAACACCATCTAATTCATGGCTACCAGGTAACAAGCTGCCGTCTCCTAGTAGACGCGCCAGGAGGTATGGAGCTGCTGGGCTGGAAGCTGGCCTAGGTTGTCCTCTGGAGCTAATTAGGAATTAAAGTGCAAGTTCTCCCATGTCTATAAGCCCTCTTGTACAGAGATTAATACTCATTGTTTAATTAAGAGCTGGAAGTTGCCGAGATGAGCCGTGACCACCTGGCAGCTATGTTGTCCATGGACACAGATCAACTAGTTAAAAGTAAGATAGTAAACCACATTCAACATCGAATGCTCTTTGTCTGCTCTTCTTCCCATCTGTCAACCTATAGCACCAAATAGACCTGTTTGAAGGTGGAAATCTCCAACCTAACCTGAGAAACAAAGTCAGGTTAACAAAGTTAGTCCAGGTGCGAGGGAGACGTGTCAGTTGGTAAACTGCCTGCTGTACAAAACTGAGAGTTTTCATTTGGATCCTAAACACCATGTGAAAACTCAGGCAGAGCACCTAGCTCTGTAACTCAGGGTTAAGGAGGGAAGAGGCAGAGACAGGAGGATTCCTGGAATGCCTTGGCCAGCCAGCCTGGCTGTGTTAATGAGATCCATGTTCAGGGAGCAATTCTGTCTCAAAACAAAACAAAACAAAACAAAACAAACCCCCAAACAACTAAGGTAGAAAGTGAGGGAGGAAGACATTTACAGTCAACCTCTAGCCTCCAGACGCCCATGGGCACTTCACTCGGACATGTACACATGCATGAACGTATATCACACACACACACACACACACACACACACACACACACACAAAACACAATAACAACCAATGGGCTTACTGACTACACCTTGAGAGTTATACATGGGGCTAGGGGTGCGGTTGAAATTAGAAGAAACAGTAAAACCAACCAGTTTTGAAATGTAGTCTAGAACCATCTGTTCAATTTTCTTCTTTTCTACACCCTGTAGATGTCTCAATAGATGGTCTCTTAGCTCAGACACCATCTGAAAATAGGACAGGTACTAGGTAAGTTACAACAGGCCTAGTCACACCTGCAACTGATTTTAATTAGTGCCATTATTAATATTTGTATCAACATGAAAAACCCACAATCTTAGAAAAGAAACCACCCCTACTCCCCAAAAGGTACATGACTCTCAACTGCCCTCTGCTGGCATAAATCAATGGCTTCAACATTTCTTTCAGGATGAACTTCTTAACCAAAGTCAGGGGACAACTCAGAGTCCTTCAGCCCTGGTGAGAATCCTCCAAGGAAGCTCGTGGAAGGCTCCAGCTTTGAAGTTACAGGCTTTGGGATCCACAGAGAGACTGTGCTCCATGGAGTGGCTGTGCTCCACATAGAGAACGTGCTCCTCGGAGAGACTGTGCTCCACAAGAAGATTGAGCTCCATGGAGAACCTGTGCTTGGAAAGGGGCAGTAGGGACTCCTGGAAGGACAGACATTGCTAGGAGGCACCACCCTCTGTACAGCACTGCCCACCTCACAGGCAAAGGTAATGAATATTCATTCTGTGTCTGTGGGCTTCTATATCTACTTGGCGCTCTAGCCTCCAGTCAGTGGTTGGCATTCCCTGCCATCCATCTTGTTTCCTTTCTTTATCCCTCCTCTTCCTTCTACTCCTGCCCTCCTTTTCCCCACTCAGCTAGATGTTTTCTTTCTTTTTCTTAAGCCAAAGAGACCTCTGCTGAGAACTGTACGGGGGCATAATAAATGCATAAATCTTCCATCTTAGTGGATGCTCTGTGATCTCAGCAACAAGACACAATGCCACTGTATTTCAATTCTGCCTCATGAGTGAGCTAGCTCATTGAGCTTTTTAAAACAGTTCTCTTCTATGAAATACTGTATACTTTTGTGCTATTTAACTTTTCTGTAATGCCTATAAATTAATGAAATTTAATGTCTGGCACAATCCTCATATAATCCTAACACAAGGGAGGCTAAGGCAGGAGGATCTGGAATTCAAGGTCAGGTCCCTCTTAGACACACAGTGAGCTCAAGTAGGCTACTTGAGACATGCCTCATGTCTCAAAGAAATAGACAGAGTAAACTATGGAATTTAAATAAACTTAAAGGATCTCCTAGTTCCTCACCTCATGAACGTCTTAGCCCTGCCTTACTCGGGTATGCACATGCATTCTACTGTTTCTTTCTATGTGATAATTTCCCTGTGTCATTAAACATTTTACACTAGCTTTAATGACTGGATGTATTTAATTTTGTGAAAAGCAGTAAAATTGATTTTTTTCTTTCTTCTACATGTTTCTTTGATTGTTGTTAATAATCCTACACACACATAAGGGTGGATACACAGGCACATGCATGTGCACACACAGATCTGACAGAAAAGTTTGGAATAGTGTTCTGTCATTCAGGAGTTTCATTATAAATGGAGGAAGGGGGAAATGGCCTTGTTACAGCCACAACTTTTCAGTCAAAAGTGAAGTGGAACTGGCTGGGCCTCATACTTTCACAAGTTACACCAAAATAGTGTGTTCTAGTTTTCAGTGCATGGCATGAGAACAGCCAAGTCCCTGTCCTGAACCTTGTTGATATCATAACTTAATGACAAAACATTTTGTCAATTTTATAGTCAAAAAGCAAAAACAGGCCATGGATATGGTCCAGTGGGTAAAAATGACTGTCCTGTAAGTCTGAAGACCTGAATTTAGATCCCAAGAACCCATGCCAAAGCTAGGAGCAGGGGCATGTGTCTGGCATTGCAGGATATAAGCATATATATACACACACACACATGTATTCTTTATCACAGCTTATGATTACATGCTTATTCCTGTGACTGATCTCTCTCCTCTGCTCCAAGAGGGCAGAGAGCGTTCATGTTCTGCTTGCCACTGAATACCCAGGCCAACAGTGATGGAAGCACCTATTGTTGAATAGTTAGCATAAAATACCATCAGAATGACCAGCCGTCTGTCCTTTCTACCGTCTCTGGGGACCACTGCCTGGCAGCACTTCAGAAGTCCACAGACTACTTACCAGGCCCATGAGCAGCCTCTGGTGCCTGTCTTCCTCTTGTAAGAGGGGTATTAATCTTGGCTCTGAAATTGAACAGAGGAGTAGTCATGGGGAGGGTAGTGTTGCTAGAACCACACCAGCCAGGTCTCGACTTGAGCCACTTAACTCTCAAGAGGCCTAGCTGTAGGGATGGCAGGCCTCAGTGGTAGGGCCATGTGGCTCCCTTCTACTTCCTGAGCCCATACAGCAGTGGCCATGAAAGCTACTGAGCTGATGGACAGTCAACTGCAGAGGCAGACAGGGCTGATGGGCACAAGTCATCAGACTGAAAGGACAAACACTGAGCGTTAAGCCAAATATTGCTTTCTGCATTCTGACCGACCCTGCCCTCACAAGACAGAAGGGGCAGGCTAACAGGCTGGGCTTCCCTAACAACCGTCCCACTGAATTCTTCCCTCAGAATTGCTAAGGCCCCAGAGCAAGTTGGAGGGCAAAACCCATAGGCTGATGCTTCCTCCTGAAAAGGCATGGGTGCTCCAGGGCTCCTCAGGATAAACACTTTCTCCACCCGCTTAATTAACCCTCTGGATTATGATGAGAGAACTCAGAATGTGCGTTTACCAACCTTAATTTTCAATGTTCAGTTTTAGGCAATGATAACATTCCTCATGGGGAGCAAAGCATGAGACAGAAAGGAAAAGTTTTAAAGAGCCCTGAGACACTGCCCAACAAGATGCCTGTTACCACTGCCATGTAGAGCTCCGAAACCTCCCCCTAGGGCAGCCAGAAAACCTCCCACACTACACAGCTTTCAGCCACTGTAGGAAGATGACCTTGGATCTCATATGTCATGACCTGTCTGGTAGGGTATAGTCCCTGGCTACAGGCAAGGGTGGTCTGGTAAACACTCCCTCTTCAGGCTGAGGCCAGTTTCCTGTGGAGATAACTCACTTTCATGGTTCACTGGGCAGTGTATACAGCTGTTGAGCATACTGCTACTCCCTTCCCAAATTAAATTTTCATTAAGGTTCCCACACATATGAAAAACATCCAAGCCCATAAAACAGGAGTAGATAAAAACAGTTTCCTTAATGAAGGCTGGCCTTCATGAAGCATGATCAATATCACAAAGGCCTGGACCTGGGTATACTCACTGTTCTACCTCAGTTATCACAGAATAAACCCTTCTTGCCTGTCGAGACTTAATTTAGATAATACTGGCCTAGGAAAGCCTCCCAAGTCTCCCTCTCTCCTCCATGAAGGGGAGGGGTACAACCTACAACTCTTGTCCCTACACTAGACCCTGACTAGGTATTCTCCAATCCCTGCTGTCATTACTTTCCCCTCATGCTAGCCCCAAGGGCAATGTCCAGGCACTTATGGTTGGCATGTGACAGCTAGCTCTAGACTCTAAGATGGTGTCCACCCCACAGAACCACAACTGCTTATCCAATGGCCCAACTGGATAATTTATTCTTCTGGAACCACACCCAGGGCATGACCTGACGTGAACCAAATGGAAAGCACATATAAGTCAAAGACTGTGTGATCAGACAGTGGGAGAGAAAGCAGCTTCTTCAAGAGAACTGCCAAGTGCAACTAGCAGGTACAGCCAGGGGCCATGCTAATTAGATCATCTGTGAGAGGAAACAGAGGAAAACCAGAGGACCCAGAGACTCCTTCAGCAAAAACATACTTGGCAGCTGACCCTGGAGGTCCTGGTGCTAAGACAGACATTCAACTGGCTATGTGGTCACTCTGACAGGGTGATAGTAAGGGCTGTTGCCATCCATTATACCCCATTTTACTGCTGGAAATGATTTTCTTGCCAATCCATTGGTTAGGAAGAACGATGTTGCAAACAAAACACTGACTTTAACACAGGTCTTTTCTTACCCAGTGTCCTCCTTTCCATGTTAGAAATCACCCTGCAAAGAAACCGTGTGTTATCTACAACAGAAGCATTGTTTTAAAAACTTTGAACCTCAGCACTATGCAGAGATGTTTCTCCTTTAAAGCCCCCACAAAACCACTGAAGAAACCATTCTTTGGCTACCTGAAAACTCAAAAACTTTAATCAGTGACCCAAAAGACACATTAAGCAATTACAAATCTCAAAGCTCTTTAGAGTCAACAACAGTAATTATTTAGAAAAAATTTCAGCCCTCAGTTATTGGAAATAACAAGGGCTAAAAACAGAACAGAGGTTGGAATGAGGCCTGCACTTTCAGCTCTCTGAGATGACTCATCTATCCAGAGAATATGCTTTCAAAATAAAAGCAAGTTCCACCAACACAGCCCACCAGCAATTCCAGCGCGTCAGCCTACTGTGTGGTTCACTCTCAGAAGTACTCACTGATACAACCAGCACGTCAGCCTACTGTGTGGTTCACTCTCAGAAGTACTCACTGATACAAGCAGCGCTCAACCTACTGTGTGGTTCACCCTCAGAAGTACTCACTGATACAAGCCTTCTCCATCATTTACCACGTAAGTGGTCCATCTCAGGGTGTGTTTCTATAGAGATGTTTCCCACTGGACACGCCAGCACCCACTGGTCTACATGAAGCCAAGGACAGCAGTTCCTGAGAGTGGACCACACAGGCGGACAGCCTCTGGTTGTACTTACTTCATTGCGTTGTCAAGAATGTTCCTCACATACATTGTGGACCTTCTTTTGCCCACTCTCTAAGGGAGAGAACATGTCAGGGTTATGGAAGGTAACACTTTCATGGATAGCTTTTCTTATTAACAGCAAGAACAAATAGCAATATAGTTGAAGGGTTCAAAAATAATATCATTTCCCATGTAAGAAGAACACCTTTTTTTTTTTAATTAAACTTTATTCTCAAAGGCCTCTATACTACAGTAGGGCAGGGGTCCCAGACACGCTTTACCCTATCTCCACTAATGTTTCTATATGATATAGCCATACTACAATATCAAAATCAGGAAATGGATACTGTACAGTATGTGCCTAGTGCTATCTATGCCAATTTGCCATTTCTGTAGATTTATGTATTACAGTGTACCACCATGATCAAAATACAGAATTATCTCATTTTCCCAAAGAGCTCTCCTGGATGACTGATCCCTTTACAGTCTGTCTCTCTGACTCTTTCTCTCCCTAACCTCTAGCAAACACTGACTTGGTAACAACTAACATTTTTCTAATTAATCTTTTAGCTATTCAAATAACCTAACAACGTCTGAGACATGATGGTCATTGCTCTTCTACTATTAATGAGTCACTTGTCTCTTCCTCCCCTGACTCCAGTTCTTCCTCAAAGAACAGACAGTATAGAATAGTCCTCTCTGCCCACTGGGTTGTCACTGAGGTGATGCAGGTGGTGACAGAGGACAGCATGGCCAGCATAGGCCAGCCTTGTGGCTCAGCCTCCCCTGCTGGCTGTGCGCTCACCTCTTCAGAGATCAGGTTATGCCATTCTCTCCTTACAACACTGTTGTGATAGTGCAAGCGAGGCTTTGTATACTTAATATACTCCAGGTTAGAGTTCAGCTTTGCCCAGTATCCCTTCAAGCTGTAGACCTGGAGACAAAAACAGCATTAGTTTGAAAAGCTAATTCATCTTTTGTGTCCTCCTGTAGCAGGGACCACATCTCACTCCATGCCCCTCGGGTGTTGGCATTTCTGAGCAACTCCATCTTTCCCAGAACAGGGACACCCATAAGAATTTGCAAATCAAGAGCCTAGCCTCTCTTCTTTTCTCTTCCCATTTATAATAGAAAGAACTACAGTTCACTTCCTAAAACTAAGGGCTTCCGAGTTGGTTTGGCTCAGTAGGAAGCCAGTACTCAAGGCATTTCTTCCCAAGAGAGTGATTCTCCTGACTTGGGTGGTGTCACCACACTATGTCCCGTCAGAAATGTGCTTGTAACTCAGAGCAACTGGAAACAGTCTTGCTTCCCTTCTCAGCTTATTCACATTCAAAACCCAGGAATCAAAATGAGGACATAAATTTATTTCACAATAATTGTTAAATTCATCCAAACAGAACTAAGTGGCTTTTTAAATCTTTGAATTATTAGTTATTGTACTATCTTGAAGAATATAACCATTTTTAATAATAAAACACTATGCTAGTATATATTTAATATTGAAGAATATCATGATGATATCTGTAATGTATATTTAATATTGAAGAATATCATGATGCTATCTGTAGACATGGGGTCTGGTGAGTACATCCTGGGATTTCCAGCTTCCTGTGTTCTAGAACAAGAAACTGGACAGGGCACATGGACAGCAGCAGGAGTGGAAACAGGTTACTAAGAGAGGCTACATTTCCAGGGGAGGAAGCAAGCCAGAGATGGAAGAGGGAGGAGTTGGGAACTCAATGGCAAATGCTATAGGAAACACTAGGGCTTTAGATCCTGGTCTATGAGGCCATTCATATAGCACAAACTGTCTCATGTATGCTCTGTTACATGTAGACCTTGGTGACAGTGGCCGTCTCTCCGCTGTACTCTCCTGCCTCACTGGGATCAAGTGGTTTTTATGATACAGTCTTATCAAGATAAATATATTTATAAGTATTTGACCAAGGCTAGATACAACATCTGACCTAACAGCTGTTGCTTACTGAGGTGACAGTCTTAATAGAATTCAAGAAAATAAGAGAGCTTATGTTCAAGGAGTCTTATACATCCCCTCAAAACATAAGCTATTGCCTTTGTTAGTGGCTACCCTTCAGAACTTGATGCTAAGACTCTATTGCTGAAGACACCATGTATTCAAATCATAGAACATGGAGAAATCAAGCCTGTACAGACTTGGAAACTGCATTCCTACTGGCTGATCAAATTATCCGAGTGCACTGGCTAGCTTCCATCGTGTAAGAAGCTGCTACGCATATTCCTAAAGGATAAAAGTACTTATCAACACTGTGAACTCAGCATGTACCATATATACACACCCCTCAATACTCATGGGGGAAGAAAGGCTGCAAGAGCAAGAGAGAGTGGAGAACTACTGTAAAACCATGTTTTCAAGACAGGACTGGGTCTGTGCACACATGACCTCACAGCATCCGTGAATTCGAGTGTGCACAAAACCTGCACAAGACCAAGCCAGCGGATCCCCACACGGATGGGGGAGGGACTTACAGAAATGCCACCCTGTCTAATGAGCTATCTATGGGCAATCCCTAGTGGCTGGGCAAGGGAGTGCATCAGTTTGCTCCAGGGATGCAGCCCCTGAGAGGCTGCCCATATTGCTGTGGATGAACATTTTGGCAGCACTGAGAGGATGTGGTGAGTTTTAAAGAACTACATGAAGTTGGGAGGGGAGTGGTAGAGGATGGGGAGGAGGTGGAGATGCGGGGTGGCTTTGATCAGACTGCATGCTTGAACTGACTGGTTCTGTTCTCTTTCCTTTCCTTCCCTTCCCTTCCCTTCCCTTCCCTTCTCTTCCCTTCCCTTTCCCTTTCCCTTTCCCTTTCCCTTTCCCTTTCCCTTTCCCTTTCCCTTTCCCTTTCCCTTCCCTTCCCTCCCCTCCCCTCCCTTCCTCCCTCCCTCCCTCTCTCCCTCCCCCCCTGACTTTCTCTGTCTCTACTAACCTCTCAACTCCCCTCCCCATGCCCTGAATAAACTATACTATACCATCCTGTGGCTGGTCCCTAAAAGGGGAAGGGATGCCTCAACATGGCCCATATATTACCACACCTCCAGCAAACATATTCCTTCTCTCCTTTATCTTTTTATAAAACACAGCTCCACCCATAATGGTTTCTTTGAGAATGTCCCCCACACACCTCTCTCTTGTGCACTTGGGGTTTGGCCCTGTGACCTCAGTTCAGTTACTTACATTTCTAGGAAGAGTTTAGGGGTTTGTTTGTTTGTTTGTTTGTTTGTTTAAATTTGTGCAACTTTTCACTTCTTAGGATAGAGCCACAACATGAAAGTCAAGCAGAGCATTTTCCCAAGTTTTATAAACACTTTCTAACTTTTCTAAAACAACTTTATGATCATAGAGAATAGAATTAGTTTTGAAACTTTCTTCCTTTGGTCCACTGCCTCCTTACGTTAACATTTTATATAACCATGGTACATTTACCAAAACAAGACAATTACCATTAACCAGTACTTTCAACGTAACTCTAGACTTTATTTTTATTTACCT